ACTAATAAAAATCTCAAAAAACAAAATAACAAATAATAGCAAACAATTATTAATAAATAGAAAATCAGGACAAACTGCCAGGCATCATGGTCATTGACAAATTTTGGTAAATAGCAAATGTAGAAAGCTAATACAGGATAGAAAATATGCAAATGATGCATTCCCATGTTTTTATTAAGTGAAAGAGAGCCATTTTATCTACCTCATAAAAAGAAATGAAGGTTTTTAAACCTTGCCTCTGAGGTCTAATTAATGTAATAGAGGCTCATGATCTGAATTAGTCATAATAAATCAGTCCTACTGTTTCTTAAATCCTATGGCTCTTCTCTTTGGATACACATCAGAATCACAGTTCGGGCTTTTATAAAAAAATACAGAAAGCAGGATCTTAACCCAGATCCACTCATCCAGATTTTCCAAATCTAGTCCTGAGATACTTAACTAAGTTGAATTTAATTCCCAGCCATGATAAATAATTGCTGGTTATTGATGGATGCTGAGTTTTTAGTTGGTCACTGATTTTCTCCTTATTTCTAGACCAAAAAAGAGACTTATCTAACAATAAACTGGGGTTAAGGGAAAGAGGAATGGGATTACTTTGGGCACTTGGCATACCTATGGTAAAATCCTGAAAATAAGAGAGGTTGCAAAGTGAGTTACAAGAATCTCATAAAAGCTGTTGCTCATGCCCAGGGACAATGAGTATTTTTGTGTATTTTCAGAGAACTCTGTAATTAAAATCAGACTAAAAATGAGTCATGTTAAATTTTTAAAACTAATAAAATTGGAAAATAAGAAACCAATTACTTAAATAACGCATAGGTCAGAAAGCAAATTAAAAGTGTAGTGACAAACTATTTATACTTTAAGGCCTTAATTGCCCAAATCATTTTGTCTATCTATCTTCTAATTTTAATCTATTAACCTAAACTGAATAGTCTACAATCCTGAGTGTGTATTAGAACCACTTAGAGAACATTAAAAAAAAAATCTGTTTTTCAGCGTAATACAAAGCAACTAAATCAGAATCTAAGGATGGGCTCTGAGTATCTGGAATGTTAGACGCTTTTGCCCCCACCAGGTAATTCTAAGCAGCTAGGTCTGAGAATCATATTCTAAACTCCAAGTCTTAAGAAACGCTTTGTGAGCTAATTTGTTTTAATTCTGTGAAATATTTAGAAACCTATATGTTTAAAATACAAGGAAGAAAAAAATCAAACATGCAAAACAAACATTGGCTAATATTGTGAATATATTATTTTCTTAAGTGACTTTATAATATTTATAATTTTATCAAAGAAATATAATGATAAATAATACTTATGTAATCCTGAAGGATTTTAGAAAGGAGAACTTATGAAATTTCTTTTTACCTAATTTAATAAATAAAAGCAGGATTATTTATTTTGAAAAGATCTGTCAAAATTAAATTAATGAGAAGGAAAGGAAAAGGGAGGAAGTGAAAAAAATATGAACTTGACTGTGAAAAGTTATTTAGGAAAATCATGAGGAAAGGAAAGTCCTTGACTTTTGGTGGTGGTATGGAAGGTAACTTTGCTTTTCATCTTAGATATTTTGTCTTTGTAATGTTTTCTTCATTGAGCATATAATAATACATCTATAATTATATAATTTTAATATATACAATTGTGTATATAATTTTAATATATACATACAATAAAATTATATATACTATATACATAAATAGATATTTCTTAAAATGTTAATAATGACTGGTGGTTTTTAGAATTGAATGCTTTTTATTTTCAAAACTTTTTATTAAAAAATTAGTGTATAATCTAAAATTTTAAACTGTAGGAAATTATATGGCCATTCTATTAAAGGTATGCAAGACATAAGAGAAGGAAACAAGGCAAGAAAGAGAGAGTTGCCATAGAATATATTTGCAACTTCAGAACACTGGACATTGTAAAGTTTCAGGTGCTTACAGTAGAACATAAATTATAGCTTGTGTTTCTCAGCACTGCAGCTCTTTTATATGTGATTCATAACTGTGAAAAGAGCACAGTGCAATAATTGCATCACTGATGTATTTAATTTACAGGTTGGGTGACTGACTAGAGAAGTATGTTTCAAAGTGTTCAGTCTTGTTAACCATTAAGTATAAGCGGGAGTATTCTCTTCAGTAGGTGAAGCAAACAGATGTTGCAGCTTTGATTTCACAAGCAAGAAAATAACTTATTTTCTTTTCTGGCCCCTTGCATTGTTACCTTATATATAAAAACAAACTCCATTTGAGATATTTTTCAGTCAAAGATATGACTATGAATATGCAGCATGATTATTACAAACATAAACCATCTTGCTTTTTCATTGAGCATAGTTTTAACATCAGGCCTTAGTTCCTGTATATCTTCTCTAGAAACCACTAATGAGTCTTATTCAATAAGATATTAGGCTGCCCCATAGAGGCAGAAGGTAGTTGTCTCATAGGTTATCAGTCAGATACCTCTGCTGGGTACAATCAGACATGAGGGGAGTTTAATGTTGCAGAGAGAGGTAGTCAGTGGCATTGGTCAACCACTAGTAATAGAATCCTCAAAAGCTCTTCTTGGGCAGTTCTCTCAGATGAGGCCTACAGGAATCATTCTCAACAGTGAGGCAGTGGGCAGGGCCACAGCTTCACTGGCATACCCAACATTTTCCAAAGTAAACAGAAGTGCTTTAGGGGTGTGATAACAGTAATAGGTAATTTTCTAAACATGTAGACTCACCATTATTTGTCTAAATATTTTCTTTGCTTTCAATTTTTCACTCAATTTGACACTGCATAAACAGATTTTAATCCATATTAATATATGCCTTGTTTTTTAGAGGAGGCTACAACCAGTAAGATTGTCATATTAAGGTTTTAATTCTCTGAATCTATGATTCTTTTGTCAGATTGATTATGAGCAATGTTTAATTTCTAATGCGTATCCACCATGGAAGTGAGTAATCATTTCATTCCACCCTTGACAGGTTATATAGTATCATATATTATTAACCTATTAAATTTGACTAGTAAAAATGACATACTCTTTCATTTTATCTTTCATTTACTCATTACTGAGCCCCCATTATATTCTGAGCATGATTACAGGCTCTGGGGACTCAGAGGTAAACAAAATAGATTTTGAAACCTGCCCTCATGCTGCCTGTAAGAGAGAAAATGGTGGAACAATGTCCCTGAGGAAGTAGGAGTGGATGAAACAGACTTTACAATTGGAGGTAAGAGCCCTGAGCGCCAGTCTAGGCATAGAGAAGAGGGTAGTATATAGAATCATGGTTGAAGGTCATACCAGAAGAAGTTTGTAGAAATTGTCTTCAAATTGCTGCATTTCTTGTCTTTGTTTAATAGGAGGTATAGTAGGGTTAAAGAGAATATACTGTATGGAAGAGTTGTCTTAAAGAATGGGAGAATAAATGGTTTAGAGAATATTGTTTGGTTTGTCAGCACTATTAAAGGTTATTTTAGTTTAGTGATATTCAGAAGAATAAAAAGTGAGAACAGTAAGCAAGCATGGCTATATTTTTTCCAGTGACATTTGACAACAGATTACAGTTGACCCTTGAACAATATGTGGGTTACAGGTACCAGCCCTCCATGCATAAAAAATCCAAGGATAGTTTGTAGTCAGCCCTCCCTATGTGCAGTTCTTTTGTATCTGAGTGTCTCCATTTGCAAATACGACCTTTGTATCTGAATTTCTGTATCTATAGATTTGACCAACTGCACATCATGTAGTACTATAGCACTTACTACTGACAAAAATCCATGAACAAGTGAACCTGTGAGTTCAAACCCATGCTGCATAAGGGGCAACTCTGTTGGCCTGTAGTAGGCAGAAGTTTGGAGTTTATGTGAGAATAATGAAGTAAAAGGAAGGCAAGGAAATGAGTGAATATAATTCACCTTGGGAATTATGATGAATAAAGAGGAAAGTAAAAAATTAAGAAGGTTGAGGTACAGTGTAGCATCAATAGCATGTTGATTCAAGTAGGGTTAAAGAGGTGGAGCATATGAGAGGATGGGTTGGAAAGATAAGAGCTGGTAGTTGGAAAATGGAATGTTTGAAATTGAGGTTATAGAAGTGCTTCATATAATGGAAATGACATTAACAAAGTGGAAGCAGAGGATGGAAAACAACATCATTGCAGGAGAGGAGATCATGGAAGCACGAGGCAAGAATAATGTAGTGGTTACCTTTCTGTATATTATAGTCTCCCATATTATGACAGGAGATCCAGGCAGGAAGGGGACCACAGAGAACAGGTGATAACAAGGATAGCAGATGGTTACTTTGATTAAATTTACAGGAAGGGAAAGGAGGGTGGCCTAGAAAAAGCCATGTAGAACAGGGAGGGCACCACCTGTTCCATCTCCAGGAATTAGAGTAAGGGGAGTGAGAAAGAAAAGTCATCCCTTAAAAGAGTTATAACAGAAGTAACATTACCAGAAATGAGCTTGATGTCAACAGAATATGAAGAGAAATTTCATGGAAGAGTTGACTATGTCTTTTTTTCTTTTTTAACCTATAATTTATTGTGTTCCACAGGGCACAGTGAGATAGTTTCAGGTGCATATTTTAATTTGATTTTGCTTACAAATTTTACCAAATATTCTACTTAAATAGGAATTTTCCTATTATTTTATACAAGATATTTATATATCAACCTCTTACATGTTGCCAAGTATGTTTCCAGTTTTCTCGAGTATTTGTATATGATACTGTTATACTCATGATGTAGAGCTTATTTGTAATTTATTAAAGGACATCAAACTTTTATTTCACAAATATTCTCATTTGCAAGCCCATGTCCATTGCATACATCTAGCTTACTCCAAATTTGTGAATATAAATTTATACAAAATAATCATTTATAATTTTGACAGTCTGGGGGTATAAGAGAAACAGCAATCAAGGATTAAAACTGACTTTTCCCACATACTTAGTAAATGTTTTAAAATAGTTTTAAAATAATTTTAAATGACTTACCTTTTCTTTTTTAGACTGTAATGTTTTTCCATAGTAACATCATTTTCAGACTATTTATCCTGTTTAATCAGTCCATCTGTTTGTTCATTGATGTATCAGTACTACATTGTTGATGCACTATATTACACCTGAAAATGTATGGACATGAAAAATAATTTCATATGTTACATTAGGTAAAAGGCTTCAAAACAGTATACTGGTTATATTCATATTCTTTCTGTACAAAATACACATATTCCTATATAGAGATGATTAACATCAAAGAGTTAACAGTGGTCATCTCTGGATGTTAGAATAAGACTTGTGGTTTTTTTTGCTAAATATTTTCTCTCTCCTGCAATATTATGAGAAAATATTTATTTTTCAAAATACAACACAGTGTACTAACAACCATTTAGAGAGACTGAAAAGAAAGAAAATAAATATCCTTTTCTCCAGCTTCTCTGTGCCCCAGACAACTATGCTTGTTTGTTTATAAAACATGTTTCCCTTTGAAAATGTCATTTTTTAGAGTTTGTCCAGTGCCTCTTGTCTCCCATAAATATGCTTTGTGTAGCTAAATCTGATTCATTTCAGCATAACTGTACATAACTATTACTTAACAGAAGTTTTCTGTCCCTAACCCTGCTCCAAATTTGCCTAGTGTGCATTTTTCCTCACTATTCCTGTGTAAAATTGTCATCACTCAGCCAGTGCCCATCCTTTCTGACTGTCCATTTTACAGGGCAAGGAAGTACATTTGTCTAGATTCTAGGATACTGAATGAAGAGGCACATAAGAGGCAATCGATAAATGGTATGTTGAATGGATGAATGAAAAAGAGGGAGCCTCCATAGTAGACACAGGTTTACTTTCCCTCTGTCTCACTAGGCATAAAAACTTAGCTTCTCTTGGTTTCAGTTTCCTCATCTGAAGGAAAATGAGGGATGCAAACTTATTTAGCTGTTTCACTAATTTGTGTTAAGGTAAAATGCCTTACATATATTTATTTAACCATACATATAAAATGAATACCCAATTGATGGTCATACTATCATTGCTTTAAAAAGTTTCCAGGAATATACATTCTTTTAAAATAAAAGTGACTTAACCCTGAAATGGAGAGTGTAATAGAGACTTCTTGAAAGAACGGCCACCCAACAAGGCTGGGTTGGAAGTGTCAGTGTATAAAAGATCACATTAAATTATAAATCAGTTGAAGGGGGAAGTGGCCAAGATGGCAGAGTAGGAAGACCCTGAACTCACCTCCTTCAATGGACACACCAAAATTACAATTGCTGTTGACCCTCGAGCAACATGGATTTGAACTGCATTGGTCCACTTATACATGCATTTTTTTCCAGTAAAAATATACTACATTACTACACCATCCATAGTTGGTTGAATCTGCAGATGTGGAACCATGGATCTGGAGGCCTGACTGTAAAGTTATACATGGAATTTCAACTTCATGGGAATTGGGTGCCGCAAACCCCTGTGTTGTTCAAGGGTCAACTGTCCTTGCAGTGCAACAATTAATGAAAATGACCTGAAGACTAGCAGAAAATAGTTTCCACAACTAAAGACGTGAGAAACCACTACAAGATGAATGGGGTGTGTAGAGAACAGTATAGTCAAGACCTCCATCCCTAGGGTCAGTGGTTCACAAAAGGGAGGAATACCAATTATAGAGGTCCTCCCTAAGAAGTGAGGTGTCTGGCTCCCTAGCCAGAGGACAAGCCCCCAGAATGTCTGCTTTGAAAACTAATGGAAGTTATGTTCAGGTGAGCCAGAGGCCTATAAGAAATAGACAGTTTTTAAAAGGAATACACATCTTACATGCTGAGTCCCAGTGCAGAGGCCAGTTTGAAAGGAGCCTGGGTTGGAGAACACTCCACTTAGAAAATACAGATCCAGACAGAATATCAATATGGAAACATTAGCTTTAAATAACAGATCAGATGAACTTTACGTGTGTGTGTGTATATATATATTCTAAAACAGCAGAATACACATTTTTTTCAAGTGCACATAAAACATTCTCCAGGATAGAGCACATGCTAAGCCACAAAAGTACAACAGAATTAACAAGATTGAAATTATATAAGCACCTTTTCCAATCTAGTCTGAGACTAGAAATCAACTACAAGAAATAAAACTGCAAAAAATACAAACACATGGAGGCTAAACAATATGCTAATAAACAACTGATGAGTCACTGAAGAAATCAGAGTGGAAATCAAAAAATACCAGGAGATAAATGAAAATGGACACACAATAATACAAAATCTATGTGATGCAGTAAAACCAATTCTAAGAGGGAAGTTTAAAGTGAAGTGAGCCTTCCTTAAGAAACAAGAAAAAAATCTCAAATATATAATGTAACCTTACACCTAAAGGAAATAGAAAAAGATGAACAAAACCCAAAGTTTATAGGAGGAAAGAACAATAAGGAACAGAACAGAAATAAGTGAAATGGAGACAAAAAAAATAAAAATATTAAAACTAAGAATTATTTAAAAAATTAAAATTGATAAAACTTTATGCATACTCATCAAGAAAATGTGAGAGCCCAAATAAAATCAGAAATGAAAAAGAAGTCACAATGGATAACACAGAAATACAAAGGATTACAAGTGATTACCATGAATAATTATATACCAATTGAACAACCTAGAAAAAAAATCGATAAATCCTAGAAATGTGGTCTTCTAAGACTGCATTATGAAAAAATAGAAAAAAAGGAATGGACTGATTACCAGTAATAAAATTGAATCGTTTTCCAGTAATAAAATTGAATCATTTTGTTGGTAATAATAGTTTAAAACAAAAAAACTGCCAACAATCGAAAGACCAGGACCAGAAGGCTTCATAGATGAATCCATAAAATTTTAAAGGAAAGTTAACACCTATCCTTTTCAAACTAAGAGTGCTTCCAACTCATTCTAGGAGGCCAGAGTCACACTGCTACCAAAACCAGACAAACCTACCACAAATAAAGTAAATTACAGGCCAACATCACTAATGAACACAGATGCAGATAATCCTCAAAAAATTTTAGCAAGCCAAATTCAATAATACATTAAAAGGATCATACCCCACAATCAAGTGGGATTTATTCCAGAGATGCAAGGATGCTTCAATATCTGCAAATCAATGTGATACACCATAGTAACAAATTGAAGAATAAAAATCATATGATCCTCTTAATAGTTGGAGAAAAATCTTCTGACACAATTTAACTTTCATTTATAACAACTTTCATCAAAGTCAATATTGAGGAAACTTACCTCAACATAATAAAGGCCATATCTAACATTCAACATCATACTGAACTGTGAAAAGCTGAAACCATTTCCTATAAGATCAGGAACAAGACGAGGATGTTCACTCTCACCACTTTCATTCAATATAGTATTAAAAATCCTAGCCACATCAGTTAGACAAGAATAAGAAATAAATAGTAAATCTATCACTGTTTGTAGGTTACATGATACTATATATGGAAAATCCTAAAGACATTTATAAAAAACTATCGAATAAATGAACTCAGTTGCAAGATACAAGTGCAAGATACAAAATTAATAAACAAATCTGTTGCATTTCTATTTACTAATAATGAACTATCAGGAGAAGAAATTAAGAAGACAAACCCATTTATGAGTTCACTGAAAGAATGAAATAGCCAAATAAATTTAAACAAGGAGGTAAAAGACCTGTTCTCAGAAAACTGTGTGACATTGTTGAAAGAAATTGAGGATGACACAAAGAAGTGGAAAAATATTATGTACTCGTGGATTGGAAGAATTAATAATGTTAAAAATGACCAAATTATCTAATGTAATCTATAGGTTGAATGAATTGCTTTCAAAATACTAATGGTATTTTTCACAGAATTAGAACAAGTAAATTAAAATTTGTAATGAATCACAAAGACCTCAGATAACCAAAAAAATCTTGAGAAAGAAGAACAAAGCTGGAGGTATCACTCTTCCTGTTATCAAACCATACTGTATTCTATGATAATCAAAACAGTATGGTACTATCACAAAAACAGACACAGATAAACAGAGCAGAATAGAGAGCCCAGAAATAAAACCATGCTTATATGGCCAATTAATTTTTATCAAGTGAGGCAAGAATATACATAGGGAAAAGACTACCTCTTTAATAAATAGTGTTGGGAGTACTGGAAAGCTATATGCAATCAAACTGAACTACTTTCTCACACCATATATAGAAATATACTTAAAATGATTTTTAAAGGCTTGAATGTAAGACCTGAAACAATAAAACTACTAGATGAAAATATATGCAACATGCTCTTTACCATTGATTTTAGCAATATATTTTTGTAAAAAATAGGTCTCCTAAGGCAAGGGAAATGAAAACAAAAATGAATAAATGGGAGTATATCAAACTAAAAAGCTTTTGCACAGTGAAGGAAACTGTCATCAGATAGAAAAGGCAGCTGACTGGGAGAAGATATTTGCAAATGATATATCTGTAAGGACTTAATATAAAAAATATACCAAAAACTCTTAAAATGCAAATTCAAAATAACAAACAATCCAATTTTAAAATGGGCAGAGAAACCTTAATAGATGATTTTCCAAAGAAGATATCCAGGTGGCTCAAGAACACATGGAAAGATATTCAACATCACTAATCAACAGGAAAATGCAAATCAAAGCCACAATGAGCTATGACCTCACACCTTTCAGAATTGCTCTTGTCATACAGACATGAAATAACAAGTGTTAGTGATTATGTGGAGAAAAGGGAACTCTTGTGCACTGTTGGTGGGAATAATTCGTACCACCACTATGGAAAATGATATGGAGTTTCCTCAAAAATTAAAAATAGAACTACCATATGATCTAGCAATTCCACTTCTGGGTATTTTTTACAAAGAACATGAAAACATTCATTCAAAAAGAGATATGCACCCCTGTTTTCATTGCAATATTTTTTTTACAGTAGCCAAGATATGTCCATTGATAGATGAATGGATAAAGAAGGTGTGTCATGTATATATAAAAATATGTAAATTATATATATATAAAATGGAATATTACTCAGCAATAAAAAGAATGAAATTTTGCCATTTGCAACAAAAGGATAGAACTAGAGGGTATCATGCAAAGTG